TAGGGTCGTATTTCCAGTGCTCGAAATCATACTCAAGTCCTGATTTGAGCATTGAATAGAGTTCTGGAATACGATCCTTAGGGTCTACTGGAATACTCTCAATGCTCAAGTCAGGACTTGAGTATGATTTCTAATGCTTTAAATAATACTCTATATCATATTCGGAAAACGAAAGAGACTTCTCTCTTTATCCCGTTTAGATGATAATAAACAGCCGTAGACGGCACAATTCACGACCATTATTGATAGTAACGTACAATGATGTTATATGTTAACGTACAAGTTTCGTAATGAATAAATGAAAACTATATTCCCGAAACCGGCTCGCCGACAGCCTTGTCGCCGTTCCGTCAATGTGACCATCAATGTGCGGGGGGTGGTGCGGTATCTAAAGCTAGGGAGGGGCGGAGAGTGTCCGTTCTCGTTACTTTTTTGTTCTCTGGTTGTACTGTTTGGGTTGTTATCCTATGTTTTAAGCTAGTATTACTTAGTAGTTCTTTTCTTTCTCGGTTCTTAAGAGTGCAGTATTCCAATAGCTGTTGGCGCAGTATGCTCATGGGTCTGGTGGACTCAGGGTGGATGGCCTAGGGTGACGGTACAGGGCGTATTGTATGTCGCAGCTATTTCCCGCTTCACTGAATTAAGGACGAGGGTGTGCGCTTGGGCACCTTAAAATATCATAGATATTTGACCGCTTCCGGTTTTTGTATTCCAATTTTGTAAGAGTCAAAGTGGTCGCTACTGGGAATAAATGGCCATGACGACAATATTAATTGGACGTAGTTAAACAAAAAGGATCCAATGCACATCTAGTCACTTTCGAGATATGGCAGTTTGAAGTTGAAAAGTGTTTGAAATCTTGTTTTATTTTCAAAACTTATAATGTCATGTAACTCCAGAGATTTTTATTTCTGTTTATATGTCGGATTTTTTTTACTGATCTAAGAGGTTAGACTTTAGGAACCGTTTGGTTTTTGGTACATGTAACTCATTTTTTGATAATTTTAACAGTTTAAACGAAAAAACAAGCTTACATCTAAGAAACATTTAATTTTAAAATGTGTTTGTTAATTATATTTTTAAGTTGTTTATTAACTTAGGTTATTAAATTATGAAATAACGTTGTTGTTATTTTAAAATGATGAATATCAAGGTGTCGGGACGAACAAGTCGTGCGCCTGCTAGTAAGCTACACGCCTATCCATAACAGTTGCAGTGCCACTCAGAGCTTTAAATCGCAAAGATCAGATCTTAGGGGCACTGCACCCTTCACTCTTAAAACATAAAGTTGACAAGCACCACATGCCTGTAATTACTTTTCAACATCGACACGCATTAATCCTCACGTACTGCTTGGTGGCAGGAATTGTACAGTGGCAGTACTTCCCTGGACGAACTTTCGTAAAGAACTTACTGCTCTAAAGTTAGTTCAGCAGTAATTTTTCAGCTTTTACAACCATGGAGTTACTGCAGTTTACAGGTGACCTTTATATTTGATCCATACTTTGTCGTTGTTTTGTTGGATTACCCAATACTTTGTTGTTGTTGTGTTGTTGAATAAAAATAAATTTAAGAGAATGAAATATTCGTTTAATTACATTATCACAATATTGCTTTATTCTTAAAGTACGTGGAACATAGTTTTCGAGTATGACTATCGTTTATTAATATTAAATACAAATTTATTACATAACATGCCTTACAAAGTAAACATGTGTTAAGCACTATTGGAAGATCTTGAGTAGCGGGATCCCCTTTCTGTATTGAATTGCAGTTTTACAAATCCTTTTTTGGACAAGCTATATTTACATACACTGTAATGTAATTTATGTATTTGAAAAATATTCCTTCAAAATACAGCTGTGTTCAGAGACCAGTCCTTGCAGTTAAGCGCGTGCTACACCGCGGACGAAGCTAGCTATCTCAGCTTAGCTTACGTAAATGCATGCCAAAGGTAAGGCTTAAAGCATACCTAGCGCCTGTTATATAGGGTCGAATTAAAAATTTTCCAAGATGGCCGCCGGCAAATGGAAAATTGATACAATACAATTTCAGATAGGTACAAATTTGTTTTCGGTGAAATTCCAAGTAATTTCAGAGCCGGTCCGAAAGGGATATAACAAAAGTTACTTACATATTAAGTAGAGAGGGTCATAAATTACGAAAAGTGTAAGAAATGAAATCATTTGGTAACACTGCGCTCTGAACGGCCATATTTATACCCCACTACCCCCACTATTTCTATCGTTATAATTTGAAAATACCCGCAATAAAAGTGATGACGGGACATCAATTGCTCATTTATAATACTGAATAGCAAAGTATGTTACTTGTATCAACGTTTAAATTATAAAATCATCAGCTTTAAGAGTGGTTACATACGGCAACTTGCGATTGCATCTCCTTTATATCGCTGCTGGAAGTCACCGTGGGTAACTGCTCTAATAATACTTGAATGTTACTCATTTACGTAGTATTTTATGCCCTCTATGAATAACGTTATATCTATAAGCAAAGAACACAAATTTCCTCTTACTACAATTCCAGTTTACGCTAATAGTGCTTATCTACTTTTTCGATTTAATACAAATAAACGCATTAACTTAACCATAAACAATAATCTTAAATCTACAATTTGGAATGTCAGTCCGTTAACGGGACTTAAAAATTGAGCTACTGTTATAACACGGTATTGTTTTCTTACAATTTTTTTTATATAAACGTCCTACTTTATTACTAATGTTGCTATAAGGAAGGAACAATAGTACTTTATTGAGGTATCATTATTTAAACGGAATATTATTCATTCCCTATCAAAGCGCAGTAATTTTTTATCTAAATTGTCATAGGTTACAAGATCGAAACTCAAAATTTGATCTTTTAGTTTCAAATTTCATGCATATCGATTTAAGAACGGCTGAGTAGATCCGTTCGTAGCTTAGTTCGATGCAATGTAAGCGGATGCAAAGAAAGCTTCACTCGCTACGCTTCGGTTATACAATCGTTCCATTTTCTTAACGCATTAATAAAAAACAAAAATAGCTTTTTTTAATTAAAAGTAAGTGACGGGACGAACAGGTCGTGCGACTGATGGTAAGCGACACGCCAGTCCATAACAGTTGCAGTACCACTCACAGCTTTAAAACACAAAGATCTGAGGGGCATTGCTGCTGCGCTCGACACTCTGAGACGATGAGAAATCCCATGTGCCCGTAATTTCACCAATTACATTACCCTTCGAAACCGGAACACAGTATTGCTGACATTACTACTTAGCTGTAGAAATAGGTAAAGTGGCAGTACTTCCCAGGATGAAAGAGAAATGAATGAATCTATAAGATTGACCACGTTACGTTTATAATTTAGTAGACTCAATATTTTGTATGAAAACAAGATCGTGATATAACCACCTTCTTGACTAAATACAAGGATGTTAATGAAATTTTCTATAATAAAATTCCGGTTGGTGTTAAAAAATTGTCGTTTATGACGTTCAAAACTATAGTGAAACAAAAAGTTTACACTAAAGATTACTTATCATGTATTTGTTACACATCAAAGTAACAAATACGTTGTGTAACCCATTTTGTTGTTTGTTCAAAATTTCATTAACATCTTGCATTTTTGCTAACTTAATTGAAATATAACTTATTTTACACAATTGTACATCTCACTGGCATTCAATGTCATAAAGCAATGCAAATAGAAAACTATAATCATAATTCATAATAATACAGTAAATGTCAAAGATATTCAAATACAAAATTACTTGTACTCGCATAATGGCAAAATATCAAAAATTTGTAATTTTGTTATTTTTATTTCATAAAACAATCACGTCTATGCATTGACTTACAAATAAATGGACGACGGGTCTAATACAAAAACCACGAAATAAATGTCCCAAGTCAACCTATTTAAACGTAGCGACATGTAAAGGAATATGAAAAAGCTAAAACGTTGAATTTAAATTGTAACGTCATCGCAGTACTGTCTAATTTTGCTTGCTTCGCTGTCAGTCGAACAAACGAAGACTAAAGCGTGAATGACGCTCTGTATACGATTTTAACGCCCTATAAGTTCGGACACTTTTTAGCGCGGACCCGACGTCCATATAATTGTAAGTCAATGCGTCTATGTAATAAAAAATAAACAAACTAATAACTAATACAAGATCCTATATCATCAAACAAATGCATATTTTATAAGACAGTATTATAATATAATTAATATTTTTGTAAATTTTTATTAACCAGTGAGTAGAGCCCCTAAGGCAAAGTGAACACATTGTTGTATTTTTTTATGTACAAGTAGCATGTTTGGTTTCTCTCACTTTTATTACTCGCGAATTAATTTACTTTTAATGTTTACATTTTATTGTTGCGTTTACTTTATTGTTGTTGTGGTGGTTTTATTTACAACAAAGTTACTTATCTCTAAGTAGATATTGAAACTGTTATATAGCCTTTAATACTGATTTCTGTGAGTAATTTCTTATGTAAATAGGTACACACACCATCACACAGTTGTACTCAAAAGTTACTTCAAGTAACATTATTGAAGGCACCACTTTATCAGTTTCTTTTAAATTTCACTTATAAAATAAATGGTCTCTGTCAGAATGGACCAATAATTCAAAGAGCTAATCTAACGAAAAGAAAAAAAAAGAAAAAAGTAAATTTTTTTTCTTGTTTAAAGATGGCGCTGTGTATTAACTAATTTCTAATCACGTGCCGTCTGCTAGCTATCTGATTGGTGACTTACTCGACGTTGACATTTTATAAATAAACTGAAAAACGGTTTATTACAATGCAACAAATCTGCAAATAAATTATATATTTATCTCTCTCCTTGTTCTTGTTTATATTATTTTCATTGTTATTTTATTATTATAAATTGGTGCTCAAATTAAATTATGCGAATTTATTGTTATGCTCCAAATAAGTATTCGTGTTTATAATTGGACGTAGATAAACAAAAAGGATCCAATACAAATCCAGTCGCTTTCGAAATATGGCAGTTTGAAGTTTAAAAGTGTTGTTTCTAACTCTGTCATGTAACTGCAGAAATATTTATTTATGTTAATGTTGGATTTTTTTTGCTCATCTAACAGGCTAGACTTTAGAAACCGTTTGCTACACATAACTCACTTTTTGATAATTTGGTGGATTGGATTCTTTTTGCTTAACTACATCCAATTATGAGTTTCATTGTTGTAATAGAGGTGTTTTAGGTCTTAAAAAAAAGATTTAATACCACCTGTGCAGGCTTACGGCAACTTAATGAACTAATAATTGACTTCTGATTTATGACGATCATAAGGCAGTTGTGGGCGCCTGCTGTTGCAGCAGTTCGTAGTACAACCCTCGTTTTGCCACCAGCTCTTGATGGGAGCCTTGCTCTGCTACCACACCTGGAAAGTGCATATTGATTAATATTCCTACTTTAAAAAATCTAAATTACAATCGTCAAAATGATAAAGGCAGTTTCTCTTGATAAGGACATGTAAGAAACTAGATAGGAGTATCTCTTTGTAAGCTGTTAGATACGTATTCATCACACAAGTCGTGCGCCTGATGGTAAACGGCACGTCTACCCATAATAGTTGCAGTTATTTTAACTGTATACCACACTTTTAAAAACTAACTACACACAAACAAACTATTAACAGTTTCTTCAATATACATATTTAAAACGGTTCTTTTTGTTCCGAGAAATCCCATACTCTTCAGCAAGGTGGAAGTACACTAAGACACCATAAATTGAAACTGGTTGTCTGTAAGACTACCCTCTTTCATGATAATATATGTGCGATGGCGCCATAACTGTACAATAGGCTGCCTAATTATATACTCGAGACTAACGACAATGCCAATATAAGAAGCGATTATTTAAATTATTGACTAGGAAAACATATTATAAAGTCAGCATTACTTAAATGACAATAACAAAGAATAATACTTAACTACCACAAAATAATGACATTAAAGTAATTAAGAATTAAAATAGCACACAACAATGTTAAATAAGACCTTATAGACGTGCGTACATAATAAATGATTTTATTTAATTTTATATTAACTTTAAATTGTAAATGTCACCCTAAGACAATATTGACAAGTCCCCTGTGTCTGTAGTTTAACCAACACCCTTTAAAACCGAAAACGAAGTAATGCTTACATTACTGCTTGGTGGTAGAAATAGGTATGTGTTATTTCAAGGATTTGTAGATAGCATCACTATGGTCTGACTCGTCAGCCATCGGTGCCATAGCTACCACTTAGATGTGTAGTCGAGAGCCATCAAAACAATAGTTATTATTATTGTTATTATCAAGTCTGACACTTTGTATTTGGGACTGCACTTATGGTAAGTGGCATAGAGTTAAATTTAAATCTTAAGTTTGCAAGTTTCATGATCGTCATATCAGCCGGAAGACGTCCATTGCTGAACATAGACCTCCCTCAAAGATTGCCAGACTAGCCGGTCAGAAGCGACGTGCATTCATCTTTTACCTGCCGCCCATACCAGGTTATACGTCCATTTAATAGGGGGCCGTCCCCCTGAACGTCTTCCGGTTCGTTGTCTCCATTCGAGAACCTTGCCCACTGCTACTTCAACTTGGTAATCCTTTCAGAAATGTCGGAGACTTTCGTTCTTCAACGGATCTCCTCATTTCTGATTCGATCACGTAAAGAAATGCCGAGAATTGTTCGCTCCATAACTCGTTGAGTAACTTTGAGCTTTTTTAAGTCCTATCGTAAGTGACCACGTCTCAGAGCCGTAAGTCAACCCTGGTAACAGGCACTGCTCGAAAACTTTTGTCTTCAAGGACTGCGGTTTTGCGGACGAGAAGAAATCCCGGAGCTTCCCGAAAGCAGCCCAGGCGAGTCCGAATTGTGCAAGTTTAGTGTACCCTTATTATTTTTTTGATTGTACTTTTTTACGATAACAAGTGACGAGCTAGTGCGCCTGGTGTTAAGCGACACGCCTGTCCATAACAGTTGCAACGCAGTAATGTTCACATTACTGTTTGGCGGTAGAAATAGGTAAGGTGGCAGTACTTCCTTTGACAAACTCTCACAAAGAACTCTATTGCTAATACGTACCTTTGTCTATGACACAAATCGTGTCAACGTGTTGTATTGTGGCGAGTCGATGTGCTATGATGATGGTTGTGCGGTCTTTTGCAGCGACTTCGAGAGCAGCTTGCACCGTCTGTTGAAAATATTGAGTTCTTGGTTATATTTTTTTTAACAAATGAATGTTTTGAGCTCTTTACAGGCCCCATGCTGCCCTAGTAAAAGTCAAATAATCTTTTCACCTCACTAGCTCGGAAAGGCTTTCTCTCTCATTAGAAATCTGCGCGCGAAAGCGTTTTTTCCACGCTAGCGTGGTTTTTGAGATTCGAACTTGACGATGGGCTGTGGTGCACCTAACTTTTTCTATCGATGAAAAAAAAACATAATGACACGTTCAACTACGCGATTTGTCGTACATTATTTTTATGTAATACAAATCCGTTGGTGTATTTTATTCTTATTATTGTTGACATTAAATTCACAACGATAACTAATTTTGTTTATTAAATTAATTAGTTATAATCAAACTTTTTTCTTTGATCTACCATTTACTCGTTATAGTGAGATGAAAAGTTGTGTATAAACCATTGACTTACAAATAAATGGACGACGGGTCTAATACAAAAACCACGAAAAAAAATGTCCCAAGTCAACCTATTTAAACGTAGTGACATGTAAAGGAATATGAAAAAGCTAAAACGTTGAATTTAAATTGTAATGTCATCGCAGTACTGTCTAATTTTGCTTGCTTCGCTGTCAGTCGAACAAACGAAGACTAAAGCGTGAATGACGCTCTGTATACGATTTTAACGCCCTATAAGTTCGGACACTTTTTAGCGCGGACCCGACGTCCATATAATTGTAAGTCAATGGTATAAACGTAAAATATCTAACGAGCATTTGAAATTTTAAATTTATTTGTTATATCTATGCCTCACTTTCTCAAACTTGTCTCTTATAAAGAGTGAATATTCAAGTGATGGCAAAACTTTCTATTTGTTTTAAATTTCCTATCAAGGGTGTTAATTTAGATGCATTACTTTAATAATAGGCAAAAGCCTGTGTGTGAATATGAAGGAAATGGTACGTGAAATCGGCCAGCAAAATTTGTATATACAATCCTTTTTTTGTATCTTTGTGCTTTAAGATACGAGTTTGAAAAAGTAAGGCGACGATATGGAAAATTAAACTAAACTAAAAAAAATTAAATCAGAATCATGATTTTTCTTACTTTAAATTGCTCTCCGGTAATATTTACAAACGCACGTTACACATTTTACCTTCCTAAAGTCGATATCTACACTGGTTCGATCTGTAGTTGAGCCGGTTAAAGCGGTAGTCACGTTGAGGCGGTAGACGCTGGATCGAAGGGTATTTTTTGTATTTCTTCGATCTTTGTTTATATAATAATCCGTAACAAACCTTTTCGCTAGCGGCGTCCAGTGCTGATGTTGCCTCGTCGAGTAGAAGCACCCTCGGGTTCCGCACGAGCGCCCTGGCGATCGCCACGCGCTGCTTCTGTCCGCCAGACATCGAGGCACCGCCGGAGCCCAGCACCGTGTCGTAACCCTGTCGATTGTATCATGTTTTAGCTTTGTCAGCACCATGATTTTTTTTTATAATATCAAGTGACGGGACGAACTTGTCGTGTGTCTGGTGGTAAGCTAAACGCTTGTCCGTAACAGTTGCAATGCCACTCAGAGCTTTGAGCTTCGGAAAGATCTGAGGGGCACTGCCACTGGGGCCGTCATCCTGAGACGCAAGTTCACAAGTTGTATTGTCTTAAAAGTACACATAATTCATTAAGAAAGAAGATATCCATAATATTAACCTTGGAACTAAGTCCGAACTCATGGTACCACGATTTCGTTTAACTAAGGTAAACGATTTTTTTATAGGGAACTATATACGTTTTCACAATACGATTACGGAGTATATATTAAGATTATAATTTCCTAAGTTTAAAACTTACATTAAAAGTATTTTAATTGAAAAGTCATATACAAAATTTAAGAGTATTTGTTAGATAAAGATGTGTGGAAAGATAACATGAGTCCTGATTCCACACAATTATCATTCAAAGTGTATTTCATAGCATTTAAGTTTATTTGAAAAGAGCGATCCCTAGAGTTTCTTGCTCGTTCTTCGCAGGGAGGTCAGCGTAGTGAACGAGCAGTGGCTTAAGAAAAGACTTTGAGAGCCATGTGCCTGTAATTTCACCAGCACCCTTACCCTTCAAAACCGAAACACGGTAATGCTGACATTACTGCTTGGCGGCAGAAATAGGTAAGGTGGCAGTACTTCCCTGGACGAACTCTTTCACAAGGAGATCTACCTGCTACTGTTGTATTTATTATATAAGATTTGACCAGCGAATGAAGGCTGAATTTATTTTTATTTGTATTAGAACAGCCAAGTGTTATCAAAATTTTGTTTTTGAACATTATAAGAAAAAAGTAAACGGTGTAAATTAAGGTGACTCGTTGTGCCCAAAAAAGATTTCTCTTACGATCTAAATTGAATTAAATGTAAAACTTTAAAATATGTCTCCTCTTTGTACTTTTCGTAGACGTAGTTCAAAATACAGTGTTTATATGTATGAAGTTTCAAAAATTTACAACTCTAATGAACCTGTGCTCTGTAATTGAACGAATAATGGGCCGAGGATGATTGAAATTAATCAAGTTCTACTATTTATTCCATAAGCGTCACCAATATTCGGTTGATAGTCGATAGAATATTTATCGACTGCAATCACTAGTTGGTTTCAAGCGGGCAACACTTTAACGCAATTAACTGTCACTTTATTCCGTCTTCAAAAAATACAGACTATAGCCGTGAGACTCTATAAACTACATATAACCAAAAGATATCGTGAGGTCCGCTGGTTCGTTCCGTGGCTTAGTTGGTATAGCGTCTGGCACGGTATGCTAGAAGACGTTGGTTCGAATCCAACCGGATCGAACGAATTTTTTCCGAGTGTTCGATCTTTGTATTAATGATTATAACAAACTAGCGGAGTAATTTCACATAAAAATAATTGAATATCAATTCAATAAAAATTTATATATGTAACTATTTATTATTAACTATCTCACCTGTGGTAACGACATGATGAAACTGTGAATATTAGAGCACTTAGCCGCGTTCATAATTTCGTCTATCGGCACTTCCCGGTTATTGTCACCATAAGCGATATTCTCGCGAATCGTCCTTGCGAATAAAGAAGGCTCCTGTTGCACCAGGCCCAGCTGGGCGCGCAGCTGGGGAAGTGTTAACGTGCGCTTGATGTCGCGATCGTCGATTGCCTGTGGTGGGAAGGTATGTGTTAAGTAGAGTATTTACGTTTTCTTTTGTTACCGTATAGAGTTATCACTGTTTAGAGGGATCTGTTTATTTTTCATTTTTGTGCAAAAGTAATATAATAATAATAGTAATAACAATAATATCCGATGAATTATTAAAAGTTATGGAATAAAATTAGTCGTTTAGGTTGTTAGTATTTTTCGATATATATATTTGAACATAAGCATATTTAAATTGTTCATGTATGAATAAATTAATAATTAAATTAATTAGTAATTAATATATTCAACTAGATATAGAGATAATGATACTGGTTTGTTCAGTCATTGTAAAATAATGAGTGTTCATGATAAAGTCGTGTGTTTTGACTGAATTTTAATTATCTACAAAATTTATTGGCCATATATATATATATATATATATGCACTAAAAATTTTATATATCTCTTATATATATATATACCAGAGATCAAACAATTTAAGAACTAAAATATTAAGAAATTTGGATGCCTTATTTTCTCAAACTCGTATCTTATTAAGCGTGATTATTCACGAGACAGCAAAATTTACTATTTATTTTAAATTTCTTATCAACTGACTTAATTTGGATGCATTACTTTTACGAATAGGTAATTGCCAATGTGTGAATATGAAGGAAAATTTATATATACAGTTCATTTTTTGCACTTCAGTAACTTTGTGCTTTAAAATACGAGTTTGAGTATGTAAGACGACAATGTGTACTCCCTAAAAACAAATTAAAAAAATACTTGTTGGAGCGAAATGATGTGGACGGATAAACCAGCAGTGGTTTTTAAACCTACAGCTGCATGTATAATAATAATAAAAACATTATGAACAATAAAAAACTAAATTTGAACACTTACCACAGATCCAATGTCGGGGTCATAGCTCCTCAGCAGGATATGCATGAGTGTGCTTTTGCCGCATCCAGAACCTCCAACGAGCGCCAGGCTTTTTCCAGCTTCCAGCTTGAGACTGAGCCCACGCAACACAGGAACTTGAGGCCGGGTCGGATAGCGGAAATGCACGAGACTGTAGGAAACGTGGCCTTTTGCGTGCTGAACGTGTAAAATAAAATAAAAAAGAATTTATTTTTTAAATCGGACGATACAGTCAGAAGATGGATCTGTTAGTTGTAATAATAGCCATTGACATGTTTTTTTGATACCAAGTGACACATTTTTTTAAATTCTCGTATATGCGGACACTGATGCTAGTGAGCAACTGCTCACTGATTAACAGTTTTCTTTCATGATTTTATATAGGTCTTTGCTATTTCATTTCATATATCATTCATTCATTCATTCATCATTCATTTGACCGTGACCGGCAAAGAGTTGCACGTTCTATAAATGACTGAGAATATTTGAGAAAAAATATTTTATATTATTATATATTTATTTAATTATCTCACTAGCTTGGAAAGGCTTTATTTCTCATTAGAAATCTGCACGCTGAAATCTGAAATTTCAACTTGACTATGGATTGTGGTGCACCAATTTTTTTCTTTCTATGAAAAAAAAAATTGACACGTTCATCTACGCGATTTGTTGTACATTATTTATGGAATATAAACCCGTTGGTTACTTTATTCTTATTATAATTCACATTAAATTGACAACGAAATGTCGGTTTGTTTGAAAAACAAACATACGCGATTTAAATCTGGAAAAATAGTTTTATTTCCAACGATAACTAATTTTCTTTGTTAATAATTCGACTGTTTTTCTTTCATCTACCATTTTCCTCGCTATAGTGAGGTGAAAAGTTGTGTGTTTCGCTCGACACCAAAGTTGTTTTAGATCTCGTGGCTTGAAACCGTCATTACGCTCAGAATTCTATTTTTAAACCAATCTTAGGGTCGTATTCTAGAACTACTCAATGCTCAAGTCAGGATTTGAGTACGGCTTAAAGCACTCGAAATCATACTCAAGTCCCTGCCATTAGGGTCGTATTTCCAGTGCTTGTGTTTCCATTGCAATCCTGACTTGAGCATTGAGTAGAGTTCTGGTATACGACACTTAGAATCCTTGGCTTGCTCAGGTTTCAATACAAGCACTCGTGTCAAACAACAACATTGCAGCTTTGCATAACAAATAACTATTGCTATATGAGCTACGTAATTGTCTGTTCTCTTACCCAGTCAGGGTCGTAAACGGCGGTCTCTTCAGTGACGATGCTGGGTTGACGGTGGAGCGCCTTGAGTATGCGTGCACCTGCGCGGCGAGCCGCGTTGAACGACGGCGCGAAGGACAGCGCTTCAGCCAACATCCACGCGCCGTAGATCAAAGCTTCAGATACACTGTGAAAATTTATTAAGTCAGTTTGACACCGAACTTTCGCTCTTTACGCTTATGACATATATCTTTCGGTTTTGCATCAGTATTTTGATTTTTAACACTTTTAAACTGCTTACTATAGATTTTGCAAGGCAATTAATCGAATATCGTACAATTAAATTGTGAGGCGGAAGACTGGTATCAAAGCCAGGTCGGACCTGAGGGTAACCTATAACAAATTTACAATCCTTTTTTTGCATTTCAGTAACTTTGTGTTTTAAGATACGAGTTTGAGAATGTAAGGCGACAATATATTGGATGTTTATCGCAAAGACGCGATTAAGTTCGGTTAGGTTAAGTTAGGTTTAAAAGAAAAAAAAACATTTTCCTCTCAAAATTACTTTCGAGGTTATGAAAATTCGAGCAAACGTTTTTTCTCGAAAATGTCATTTCGGACTACAGATAGGTAATTCTGCTAATTTACTTTAAACCATTGGTCATTGTAATTCCATTAAGACTCCATTGAGATAACATTGCAAATATGACATTATTTGCTATTCTGTTAAAATCTAGTTGCAATTGCAGTTGCGGCCAGTGGAATGTCATTAATAACATATTTATACATTCAATTTCTAACGGTCCATGTTGCCTTACTAAAACTACCTTGGAAATTACTAAGCATATCTTAATTTTTATCTCTACTCTAATTTTATTCACTGCCTTCGTGTCCGAATGGTTATCACGCTGTTCTGCCACGCAGAGGTCCCGGGATTGATTCCCGGGTCGGGAGAAATGTTTGTACAGCCTATTCATGAGTTTATGTGTAATTTGTGGTTGTCTATGTGTGTGCGTCGATGGCACTCGTGACACACCTTCCACTAGTCTTACTAAGATAGGAGAAAGGCGCATGTTGTACTTACAGAATAACATTAGGGTATGGGACGTTTTCTGAAGCAATGAGGGTCCCTCCATAGGCCAGCGATACGGTGTATCCTAATGCAGGCGCACACATGCAAAGGCCGTACACGGGTCCACGTACGTAGAAAACACGGCGTGCGCGCGTTGCCGCTTCGGTCAGGGCAGCGGTGTAGCGTTCCAGAATCGTCTTCTCTACACCTGTTGGGGTAACAATGGGTTATTATCACACAGCTACAGGCACAATATTATATATTTTATATAACGATTAATACTATTTTATTAACTAGATAATTTTAATGTTATTTTCACAATTTTATTAAATTATTATTAGTTTTACAATTTTATTAAATTATAGTTTTTTTACAATTTACATGAATTAGTATCATTGATTTTATTTTAATTTTTTAACAAAAAAACTACAGGCACATGCGATGTGTCAACTGTATACATCTTTATCTATCATGTAGTCTTCAATTTTGTAATAATGACTTTTCAATTAATATACTTTTAATGTAAGTTTTAAACTTAGGAAATGATAATCTTAATATATACTCCGGTATCTTACCGTAAAAACGTGTACAATTCTCTATAAAACAATTGTTTACTTTAGTTAAACGAAATTGTAATCGAACTTCAAAATTTAAACTTCGTCATGATCTGTAAAATTATATATTTTATGCTAGTTTCACATTTCATATATATCGGTTGAGGAACAGCCGAGTAAAAAAAGCTTCGCTAGCTGCACTTCGGTAAGTTAAAACATATCCATGTAAAAATAACTTCCCATGTTTATTTCTATGAAATTTATATTTACCGAGGCTCTGCACCGTCCGTACATTGAGTACGGCCTCAGTGGCGATTCTTGAGGCTTGTTCCAATGCGGCACGTTCAAGGATTTCAGCGCGACGTGTCATCCAGCCTTCCATGTAAATGCCTCCGATCACCTGTACATATAACATAGTTACAGTGGAGTAAATCTCAATGGCATTAGGACATATGCGCATGGACACGACACGTGTTTCTTTGGCCGAGTGTCGAATTATCACAAAGATTCAACACAAGCGCAGCTATTTTTCACGACTTAACCCTAACTGTGTTCGTGGAATAGCAAATTAATTTACGTCCATTTTTATTAACATGGACTTCGGCAAGATGACACCTGAATCAATTAATGGCAAACTATTAATAAAACACATACTGACTATGGCGTATTCTTTTGACACGTACGCATAATGTCACGCAGAAAGAAAGCAGATTTACAATTTTCTTTATAATTAAAATTGTTTAAAAGTAATGTTAAGTGCTCTGTTTTTGCATTTCGTACCATTACAGATAAAAATAAAATAAAATTACCTATTTCTTTTGAGTTTTTGCTTATATTTTATAGGTACTTTTATTTTTGACTAGTCTTAATTATTGCTGCTAACTTACTTAAACTGCCTCTGTAGCCGAACGGTTACCATGCCGGACTGCCACGCAGAGGTCCCAGGTTCGATTCCCGGGCCGGGAGAAATATTTGTATGACCTACATTTGTTTCTCTCGTGAGTTTGGGTGTAATTTGTGGTTGTCTATATGTGTGTCCATGGAACCCGCGACACAGGGTTATTATTATTATTATTATTCACTGTATGTAATTTTTGAAGTTTGACGCAAATAATCTTTTTACCTCACGCTGGGAAAGTGCTTCTTTCTCATTAGAAATCTGCGCGAAAAAGCGTTTTCCACGCTAGCGTGGAAAAGGTTTTTGAAATTCGAACTTGACGATGGACTGTGGTGCACCTAACTTTTTCTTTCGATGAAAAAAAAACATAATGACACGTTCAACTGCGCAATTTGTCGTACATTATTTATGTAATATAAATCCGTTTGTTGTTGACATTACATTGACAACAATAACTAATTGTGTGAAAAGTGAAAAGTTGTGTGTTTCATTCGGCAGCAAAGTTGTTTTGCGTCTCGTCGCTTGAAACTCTCGCTACGCTCACGATTCTATTTTTGATTTATTCGCTCGCATCAAGCAACAACATTGCAGCCTTGCATAACAAATAACTATTGCCTAATTGCCTATTCCCATCTTTGATAATAGCGCAGGTGCCTACAGTGTCAGAATTCTAAAAAAATTAATAATCATTATCATCTAATCACCATAAACACTTACGCAAGGCACGCTGATCAGCGAAACAAGGGTCATCTTCCACTGGAAACCTAAAGACATCAATATGCCCAGCACCATTGTACTCGTGCCCTGCAACATTGTGCCCAGTCGTGTGCCTGAAATTTATAAAATCATAAGTCAGACAGAAAATTGTTTGTTCGTTACAGAGATGTAACACAAAGAAAAATCCCTTAGATCTCACACGATTCTCATAGTTTTCTCGCACGTGGCTCTACGGCAAAAAAGTAGTTAAAAACCATAAACAAAGATCTGTAAAAGTCTAGTCCGGGAGTCTACATTTTAGGACTCTACACTAATTTACAAGACTCGACTCATAGAGAAAACGACTTCAATGCTCGGTGTATTATGAGCCTATCGAGTTCCCAAATAGACTCGAGTTCGACATTAGTGCTCGAGTCTGTTTATGTGTTAACTGTCTCCGTGGCCGAACGGTTACCTTGCCGGATGGCCACGCAGAGGTCCCAGGTTCGATTCCCGAGCCGGGATAAATATTTGTATGGCCTACATTTATTTCTCTCGTGAATTTGGGTGTAATTGTCCATAGCACCCGCGACACAGGGTTTCCCTAATGCGGGGCTATGTTGAGTGTGTGCGTTATTATTATTATGTAACGAGTCGTGCACGAGTTTGGGAAGTATCTATTGAGCGGCGTTGTGTTGTAGTGTTTTAAACTGAGTATAATTGTAGTGTACTATAGTAATTAACATCTTTTTTTTCTATTAATCACCATATTAGGGTTTTGTGTGTTATTTAATTCGTAGTGTCACTCTGTCAATTGAGCTTCATTTCAAGTTAGCAAGTTGACAACATTCCACTGTCTGTTAAAGATGTTTGTATAGGGTTTTGTCGGCCGTAAGCGTCATCTTGTGAAATATTTACGAACCTTCTCACTTAGCCAGCCGGTACCCTTATAGCTACCATAAGCTGACTTTAATGTCGCTGTATTAAAAGTATTATTGATTTTTTATTGAATCAAGATTAATTGTCGTACAAAAAATTTATATACCATCATTTATATACCAGTTTGTTATAATTATATGCTACGGTAAAGTGTGGTTCAAATCCTGTCCCGTTGTAGGAAATTGTTTTTGTGTTTGATCTTTGTATTAATATTAAATCGATATATTATTAATATTTATCAGTTTTTCACGTACCTGTGGCACCCTGAACGGCAGCGCAATCTGATGAGATGCGTGCGCAGAGTGCTCCGACGGAGTTTTGCGTCTCATCGTACCAGCCTTGCTCCTGCAAGAAAAACGTTCGGTATATATTATACCACTCGATGAAAGATTTTTTATGGTACCAAATGACGGGACAAACAAGTCGTGCGCTTGGTGGTAAGCGACACGCCTTTCTATAACAGTTGCAGTGCCACTGGAAGCAGAGCTTTAAATCACGAAGATCTGAGAGATACTTCCACTTTCCAACAGTGTTGGAAGAATGAGGGGGTACAATGTCCTACTTCAAATGAGGTGAGGTAGTGCTAAGAATGTTTGCACCTACGGCAATTACTTAACAGACAGAATATTAAGCACATTTCCATAACTTGATGGTATCAATCAATTGGATAACTTAAGTGTTATGATATAGTATAAATAAATGCAAATTTTATAGTACTATGGTAGGATGATCATATGATGTAAAGTCGTTGTTGCATTTGTTGAATTCGAAGCAGTATGACATGAGTGAGGCTGTGCCTTGAGGCTATGACAAGAGGCGAGGTGTGAGTTGGGACATTTTTATGACATGAGGTGTTGTGACAAACCAGCCAAGCGACTGGTACAAACGAGTTGCCTCGTCTATGAATAACTCAACACTACTTTGCACGTCACTAAATAATTACACCACGTAATTTCACGAGGAACCAGTTTACCCGAGTTTACCCGTGGGTCAAAATTGTCTTTTTAATTAAATTTGGGAAAATTTTAAATGTTAGTTCAACTTCAAAATCAAGTTTCAACTATAGTTACCTGTTTAAGAAAGTTCCTAAAGGTGATCTCTCTAAGTCGATCGGTTAATTTTGCTCCAGCTAAGTTGAACAACCACGCTTGAAGGAATGTCACCAGACCGCATATCAGGGCCACTAAAGCGAAGAGACCGGCGCACAATTGAGACTGAGCTCGGATTTCGTCCTTGTCTTCTAGAGCAAACATCTGTGGAGGAAAAGAAATAAATTTAAAAACCAGAGACTAAACATAAATAGTTCTACTGTGAGTAGTTGAGGACGTTGGGAGTTATCTATCAGCAGCCCGAAATGTATTTGCGATAAAAACTCAACGTATCCTGAAAGAACAACGGTTTCGTTATAATTCGGTAATGAAAATTTGAACAAACGTTTTTTCGGAAAAAAAATTCGAGTTTGTGATAGATTACCGGAATTGGGCAGTCTGCTGTCTAGTTGGAGTTTTAGATCAAAGTTATTATATCCCTATCAACCTCTTGGTTATGCAGGAAAGGCTCTATAGCCTGTGCGCGCGCAGGAACCCTATATATGTTCAGGTTCTGACTGCAGATCAGTGTTGTCACAGACTGTTGTATCTGGTTCTTAAGGGGTTAGTGGTTAGTGGTTCGTGTGAGCCGCCCCGGGTGCACGTACAGGACCCTCCCTATTTTCAGATGGACAATGTAGTTAGCGTATTTCAAAAACAAATTATATTAGGCATATGACTTACCCCGTACAATTTGGAGAAGAGCAAGGCAAATATAGGCATAGTTGTCCCGATGATGAAAGAAGCAATCCCCCCACCTACTAACAACGGCCACTCCGGCGCATTCAATCGTAGAAGAGCAATGGTGGATGCCGGGGGCTCTTCTTCTGCTTCTTCAGGTTCCTGTGGGAAGATGGTTGATTTCTTAATATTGGTGATGTTTATAGTGCATTCAAAATATTTTTAATTCATGGGTTGGTAAGCAAATGACAATAAAACAAAATGACATATTCGTAAGACAAAGTCTCTTGAGAAGAACAAATATAAGAAACTCTAGGGGTTGCTCCTTGTTAAAAGATATTTGTACACATTTGTTATCTAGTATATTTTACTATACTAATATTACCTCATCAGCGATGAGAGGATCTGGCGTCTGGGCGGCAACCATATGGACTGAGGCGACTGCGCCACCGAGACGGCGGCTGCCGCGGATCATGCTGTCCCGCGTCAGGTTTGCTGTGAGATACAATTTTTCATTTACATCATCGACCAATAACTAATCGCGATACAAAACAGCGTAATTTGGTATTAAGTACCTGTGGACTTGTATATTAAACTGAACCGCGCACTAAGTTAGTAAAACAAGCCGAGTGAGAGGTTGCAAAGTAGTAATGCGTCTCTTTCTAATAGGGTGTTCATTGACCAAAACTACTAATAATTATTCATAATACAAATTGGTATACTTATTTGACAGGCTACTTCGTAAAGGTTTAATTGTTGATATAACTATATTTGTATTATTACAGTAAAAGCATATTAGCCTATAGGCATTGACTTACAAATAAATGGACGACGGGTCTAATACAAAAACCACGAAAAAAATGTCCCAAGTCAACCTATTCGAAATTTAAATTGTAATGTCATCGCAGTATCGCGCTGTCAGTAGAACAAATGAAGACTAAAGCGGAGTTTAGCGCTCTGTATACGATTTTAGCGCCTTACAAGTGCGGACACTTTTTAGCGCGGACCACGACGTCCATATAATTGTAAGTCAATGCCTATAGGCAAATATATTTAACCAAAATTTAAAAAAGTTAGCTAGACACTACCTAAGAAGATTTTATTTAGCGTCGGCAACTACTTCGTGACAGGACAGACCACTACTTCGAGCTATCTCACGTGTCTCGGTTTTTTACTTTTACTTAAAGCGTTCTTCGCCGACTAGAATGTTCAAAAATGTTCAAAATATGACATTGGCATATGACTGTTTTGGTCTGATTTATATATAAATTTATTTGGCTCTAGTTTGGGATTATAATTAGTGCCGGTCATTTAAACCCGGCGCGGCATAAACGCGATGTTTACCTAAAACTGACGTACGTCCTTCATTTGAGATTGACATTTTACATTAACCATTTCAGTTTGTAACTTTTAAATCAAATTTGAAATTAAAGTAAATTATTTTGATTCGAAATATATATACTTTTTCCTCTTAGTTTAGAAAAGTATGCATGCCATCAAAAATCCTAAAAACCAATTGGCAACTGCAGTTCATCAGGACCACGCCGGCTATGTTATATGGCTAAATACGTAGCGTTTGCCACCTGCGGCGTGAACCAGCATTGCAAAATTAGGTGTGCCGTGTCGGTCATTTTAACCCCCCACGGCCCCAATAGGTAGATGAGATCCCGGTCATTTTGACCCACCACGTTGATGAACGTGTTAAAATAAACATTAACATAACCCAAAAAGGTGTTAATTTGTAATATTGGTGTATCGAAGTGCGCGATCCAGTTTATGAAGTATATAAATCCGTGTTAATTTGTTTTACATTGACAAACTGCAATTTATCAAAGCTGCTCTAATTTCTAGTGATAACAAACAAATCAAGTAGATGGCGTTTATTGCACACATATTTATTTTTTATTTTGTTTAGGTTTAGCGCCATCTACTATTACTATTAGGAAGCGTCAATCTATACATTAGTTTGTAACATGAAATATCATCTATTAACACGCATATACATCGAAGTTCAAGTCGTGCTCAGTATTGAATAATAATTACAAGGAAAAAAATTGACTTCTTAGATTTCATATTAAGGAGGAATTATTTGATATCAACGACCATTTTCATAACATAAACAACTTGCAGGCTATTGATCAGGGGCCTACCACAACCTCTTAAAACAATATTACTTTAATCTTACATTGACTTTTCGTACCATGACGCGCTTAAAGTAAGCTTATTATAATGTTATAACGTTATATATTATAATGTTATAGCTTTGTGACTATTCATTCACTCAGTTGGTACTATGACGCGACTTTAACATTAATGTAATATTGTTCTTATGTCAAATTTAGCAATCTTAAAATAGTTACTCGGACGCAATGGAAACAATATTATTTTCGAATTTATTGTCTAAATATTGATTTGTAATTATTAAAAGTTAAGTTGAACTTATTTATTTACATAAATCTCTTAAGTATTTGGTTTATTTTTTTATTTAATAGTACATAGGAAATCATTTCTACATTTAAGACGAAATTGTGACCTTTTTCAGAGTTACGATCTGTAATATGGAGATTAACAGTCCTGTTTACTTATAGGTCAATGGTTACATATAGTAGTTGATGGTGATCCTTGTGAAAGACTTTGTCCAGAGAAGTATAGCCACCATACCTAATTCTGTTATCAAGAAGTAATATGAGCATTTCTGAATTCCACTTTGGAAGGGTGCTGGTCGAACTATAGGCACATGGAACTTGTCAACTTTATTTCTCAGGGTGACGGTTTTGGATAGGCGAGTCGCTAACCACAAGTGCGCCTGATAGTAAACGACACGTCTATCAAAAACAGTGGCAGTGCCACTCAGAGCTTTATATCACAACGAGGTACACTGTCATTGTGCCCATCACCCTGAGACATGAGTTGAAAAGTCCCAAGTGCCTGTAATTACACCAGCATTATTATACCCTTCAAAACCGGAAAGCAGTAATGCTCACATTACTGCTTGGCGGCAGTTAAAATAAGGTACTTTTATGGACGAAATCTTTACAGCTACTACAATTGCATTATGAAGGATACAAACGTGAAATTAAGTCATCAAAGTCAAGATTTTCCAAGAAGCCATAACATCCTGGAGATGGCAGCGTCCACAAAGAAAGAAAGCGTTTTAATATCATTAGATAGGTAGATGTGAGATCGAAGGAAGTTTTCGATCTTCGTATTATTTATAAGAAACTAGTTATGTTAGTAGCGACACCTGGCGAGTAGCGCTACTTAACACTACGGCGCGGTATACTAGTCCCATCAAGTAGTACGTGGTAAACTCGCTAGGTGGCGTTGTAAATATCGATAATTGATTCATATAGGGAAGATAAAAGACTCCTGGTGTGTCTCTGGCTTAACACGATACATGAAACTGCATCGCGGCAGTTTTATTCCGAATTTTTCTATCCAGAATTTACAAATTTAGTAATTTCATCAAAATAAATTAATATCATGATAGGTAAACATTTTCTTTACGATCAATATTACAATGTATGACCAACCTCTGGACCTGCGTGTGGATCGCCTTAACGTGTTCCTTAACTGCGGTTTGATTGCCTTCACGGCGTCGTCGTCCTCGTCCGTATCTGGCTCAGCTTGCTGTAGCGTTAGCACACTCCTGAGAGATGAGACTGAGTTAAGGTTTTGGTAAGTGGGTCATCATAAGCCATGGTAACATATCGCCTCTCAATCAGAGGCCATGTGTTCGAATCCGGGCTGGCATCTTTCAGTTTCTCGGAATTTATACGCGAAATTTAACTTGAAGTTTGCCATGAGCTTTTTAATGAAGGATTCATAAACCTCAGAAACCGTGTGAAATCCCCAATCCGCATTGGGTCAGCGTGGCAAACTCTGGTCTAAACTCTAGTTTGAGAGGAGACCTGGGCTCAGCTATATGACGTAGGGGTTGATGATGATGATGAAGAGAGAGGTGGCTTTCCGGGATACAAATCCATGAATATGGTAACTTCCTAAGTGAAAAGTAAATTATATGGATTTGCTGAAATGATGACCAGAGTGTGTTTTGTGAATATTTCGCAGGTAGACTGTAAAAATTAATATGATCCGGCGTTTTACAAAATCTGGATCTCATATTGTTCGTTCGTACAAAACTGGAGTGAGTGAGATAGTTATACTGACTTGCTGGTAAGATCCTCTTGTACGAGCTTCCAATAAAGGCCTTTTTTCTCAAGCAGCTCGAGATGTGTGCCTTGTTCGAGCGCGGCGCCTTGTTCCATGTACACGATTCGCGATGCGTTCACGATTGTTGATAATCTAAGGAAAAATGAAAATAAATAAACAAATGCATACTTTAACAGCGAACAAATAGAACTAAGTAGTTTCTCGTTGTTCAGAGGGTATGGTTTTTCTGTAAAGAAACATAAGAAGGTTATTGACCCTTTAAATTATCTGTGAAAATGAGGTCCATAATTGTACCGATAGCTGTGCGTGTGTAGTAATTTGTCCGCTCGGATTTTATCCAAAGCGACTAGTTTTAACCCAAATCTGACCAAAATCGTGGATGGGAAAATTTTATCTCTGGCTGTGAATAACTTTATGCAGCTTGAGATTTCAACATCTTCACCAGTATAATAAAGCACATATCCGTATATTTATATAATAATTGGCTTTGAGTAGGAGTAACGCTCTTTGTGAAAGAATTCGTCGGCTGGTGAAACTACAGGCAGATGGGACTTGTCAAATTTACGTCTCAGGGTGACGGGGACAGTGGCAGTACACCTCGGGGCTTTGGGATTGAAGTTCTGAGACCACTCTGATACCTCTGATACCTACCAAGGTACTGCAGCTGCTATGGGTAGGCAAGTCGCTAGATAGTCTGTTTTTTTGAAGACAGAGTACAATTACATTTGTAGGGTTGCCAGATTCCACAAAATTTTAAATAGTTATGTAGTTGTTGTCGATAGTTTTATCGATAGATTGTGAAAGAAGATAAAATTTTACCAAAAATTATGAATTATCAAACTAAAGAGTTATACTCTTGTTGGTGGAGCATCTTCCAGTCATCTCTCCTACAAGCCAGCTCCTTGACCTCCTTGTAATCCTCCTCCATAATTATTACTATTTTTTATTACTAATTGCGTTATTGCGTTATTTATTCATATTTTGACTATCACTCCTATACCCTCTTTGTATTTTTTATAAACATAGTTCCAAACACAGTATATGTTTTATGAACTTACTTAATATTGACATTTCAAATTCAAGTTCAGTGATTGGATGAATAATGGGTCGAGGATAATTCAAATGAAACAAGTTCGGCTATTTATTCTATAAGCGTGACCAATATTTAGTCGATAGTTGATAGAATATCAACTATCACTACAGAATCACTAGCTTCTCGCAAGCGAGCAACCCTTTTGCGCAATAAACTACGGTGTTTACACTTATTTGTTCTGCCACTCGATATCATAAAAAAAACGAGCTGTTGATTTACCTGTGGGAAACGACGAGGGTAGTCCGTCCCTTACTCGCATCGTCTAAAGCAGCTTGTACTAGTCTCTCGGCAGCAGGATCTAGCGCAGAGGTAGGTTCGTCCAGCAACAGTAGTGCAGGCTTTCGGAGTACAGCACGAGCGATGGCAATACGTTGTTTCTGTCCGCCAGAAAGCTGAGCGCCACGTTCACCGAGAACCGTGTCATATCCCTGCAGGTAGAGAAAAGTCTGGTCTCAAACAAGGGAAATTTCTGTGCGATAAGTACCAGAGTCTACTATTTGAAATTTTTCGGAAAATTACCCAACAGTAGTAACAAGTCAAAAAGCTAACATTTTTGGTTTCGGGCCACTATTCTTGAAAAGCAATATGTTGATTATATTCGGACACTAACTTCAGCACTGACATAACCCGAGAATGGTAAGCGCAGTAAGTAAAAATGTGACAGTTATATTTTTAATAATATTTTAAAAGCCAAACTTAGTATAATGTCGCCAGGATTTTTAAATATTTTCACCGAATAGCCATTTAAAAATAACGAGTTTTACTTGTGGCACTATTGCAGCTTGCAACCGATAAGCGATTTAAGAGTCAATACTACTATAGGTCGAATTCAAATATTTCCCCGTACTATTACTGTTCATTTTGCTTGGGTTATTTTGCTTATTTTATTACAAACGAAATTAAAACCATTTGAAAAATGTATATCGTATAAGTATGTGTTCCATTAGCTCAGTAGATATAAAAAACATCATCGGTATCTCTAAAGTACCTATTGGATACAGCGGTTTTCTTGTAAAATTTCGAGGTAAGTTTGGAATCAACCGAAGCCATTTGAGGTTGTATAGATTCTTAACGCATATGATTGGTTTTAGTATACCTACATGATATCATTGCTTAAGATTCCGTAGATCTCGTGGAGAGAAACTAAAGGTTAATATCCAGGAGGTTTAGAACATAACTGGTAGCTTCACGTGGTAAAAAAGAACTGTCCACTTCACCTGCGCGAGTTTTGTGATGAACTGATGCGCATGCGCAAGCTGGCTGGCCTCGATGAGGTCCCGCTCCGTGACGTTGTCCAGCCCTAACGTGATGTTGTCCCGAATTGTACCACTGAAGAGTACCGGTTCCTGACCCACCACACCTGATGAAAGAAGACGTGATGCTTAGGCAGTATTGGTTTATTTGGGAGTCCACGAAAGGAGCCTATTATTTAAAGTTAAATAGTGTTTATAAGTAAGGCTGTCTATGTGTATTATTCGAAGTAAATGATAGTTTGCGCATTCCGATTTCTTGATCATTATATTAAGACATTACCAAGTTATATTTATAAAATACCAACCTATACTAGTACGGTAATTATGCAAATTGAGATCCGTAAGCTGGTACCCGTCAACGGTGATGGTGCCACTGTCTGGCTCGTACATCCTCTGCAAGAGCTGCAATATTGTTGATTTGCCGCAGCCAGAGCTGCCGACCAGAGCGACTGTTTCTCCTGCATTTATTGAGAGGTTCAGACCGCGGAGGACCTGGAACAAACGTAAATATAATATTACATAATTTATTTCGAGGTTAGTAGGTTGTTTTGGTACAAATGTTAGCCTCTAATATATTCTGTAAATATAATGTTAATCTACTATTACGTCAAACAAGAGTTTGAGATTTAATGTGAATGCACTTGTTAGTTTAGATTGGGTTCTGATAGATGACGTCACATGTTGCTGAAATGCCCTGCTAAAATTCCCTTATTATATATAATATTAGATTAAATAAGATTATACTTAATTTATATAAACATTTAACATGTAAATTTCTTACAGGTTTTAAACGGTTTCTGATATATGGCGCCACTAGCTACACTTGTCTTTCAAAAACCTATAATTTTTATGTAGATTCGGTTGCACCTTGGAGGTTGTAACAGCGGACTCGTTTTGATCACAATAAAACTTACAAGTAGGTACACAAGAGTTGAAGATTATGACGTTGAACTCCTCACCTTCACATCCGGCCGACTGGGATAGTTAAAATAGATGTTGTCAAACACGATGTTGCCCTTAAAAGATATGGGCCGTTCGCCGGCGTCTTGCAGGGCGTCAATCTTTGAACTCCGTTCCAGCAGTTTAAAGAGGTTAAAGGCAGCGCCTTGAGCTCCAGCGAAGACCTCCAGATGCGGGCCCAACATTGCGATGTTCTGGAGCGCCATGAACGTGCAAAACAGGATCTGGAACATAAAAAACTCTTGAATGCTGAAGGTTCGGAAAAATCTGATAACTCAGTTTTCCTAGTGGTTAAACGAATTTAAATGTTCTTGTCTGAGTATTCTGAGTACTTACTGTCCGCTGTGGGTAATTTATATACTATGGTACTTATGAATTTGTTTGATGTAGGATAACAGGTATGACGAAAATATGGTAAAATGTTTTACAAAGCATCAGAACATTGCCTGAACGACCTTAAGGCTTGAATAATGGGAATAGGAAACATTCTTTCCCCGGTTTAGCAAAATACGTAGTTTCTTGCGATGTTAAGTCTAGATAATGGCTATATGCGGCTCAAGGTCATCCTTGAATTCGATTAAGTTACAGTTATTAACCAGATTCTTGGGTCGACTGCGAGCGTTCGCAATCCATTTTAGAACTCGCCTTCTCGCTTGTCAGCCCCATGGAAATGTGTGTGTGTCCTGGCACATAATTAAATGGACATACCGTGACCATGATTCCCGGGTGGTACATCTGCTCTTGCGGCGGCTTGTCCAAGTCATTTATGCATAGTTCTGCTCCGTAACCAAATACGATTGCGTTGAGCGAGTACGTGAGTAGCCAGCCGAGACCGGAACCGGACGATGCCCAGAGACCGCGGCGTCGTGATAATGATGCTGCGGGACCCAGGGCTTCCGTGTACCTAGGTAACAATTGAAATTGCAAAATATATAACGAAGTTATATAAATTTTGTAATTCGGAGCTAACTCAGAGAACACCGAGAAACTCTAGGATATACTATTTTAAACACCAAATCGGAATAAATATCTGTAGAGTGAAGAAATAGCATTTAATAACTAAACTATCGGACAAATCACGTATTTAAGTCAAATGTTTACTCGACATGTGTCGAAGCAGTTATCGTGGATTAACGATCAAGAACTGGTTCGATATGAGATTCTGCGGGGGTGACTCGACGGAAACAGCGCCCCAAGCTCTGACAGTCTAGTCACTTAGTCTTCAGTACGGCTGCGGGCGCAATCAGTGACGGAGAGCTCTTTTCCAGTAATCTCATGGTTAAGGACCATGGACTGGTTCAAAACATGTGAGCAAATCTTCGACTTAAATAGGTACGGGAGTTATCCGTTAGTTTAGCGATAGCACTTATTCTAGATGATGTCATCGTTAATAAGGCACATATCTTAATTATTTTATTAACCTGTGATTCAAGAAAATAACAATTTGAGGCTATTCACGGACAATGGGAATTTGTATTTTTTAGACGAATCCGTACCATCATTCGTCGCGTAACATCAGACAATATTGTGGCCGATCGTGAGTACGGACAATATAATACCAGGATGTTAGAATTAATAAATAACGTTCACGCCATAGGAGCCCTTTTCCGAATGCAGGCATCATTGTTGTATTACGAGGGCAGACATCGCCGATACAGATGCATACCTGGTGACTTCAAGATCCTCTCCGCCGTAAGCACGTACAGTTCTGATAGAAGCAAGGGCTTCTTCGACGATGCGACCTGCCGAGCCATATGCTGCCACTTCATCTGTACTGCAGCGCGTTTGGTACTGGAGAATATATAAGACGTGATTGACGAAATCGAGACGGTACCATGTATGTGAAAAAACGGTCAACACTCACAAGGGTCAACAACAGAAATACATTATCGTCTTTGAAATAGTGGTTCATATAGCGATAGCTCACAACACAGTCGCAAGCTCGACAACGCAAGGATAGCCACCCACAGCTAAGCGATTCGAAAATAAGAAGATATGTTGCCCATAGACCCTTGAGACTGTGCCACAGAAGTCGTTAAAGGCAAATTTGACAAGAGACAACTGCCATCCATAAATGAGAGTGAGCAATGCGCTTCATAATATGTGAGAAAGAGAAAAATATATTCCCATAACAGGGTGTTAAAGAGACTCACCTTTGAAACCGTGGTAGCTACAGCAACAGCTAAAGGTACTATAGCAAGTCCAACTAAGGTCAACTGCCACCCGTAGCTGAGCGAGAGTCCTGCGCCGCAGATCACGGAGCCGATGAGGTATGTGGTCATTACTACGTGCTCGCCCACACCAGCTTTCAACTTTTCTATGTCCCTGGAAGTGATGTATGATTTAGGTTACGGTGAATAAAGATTTCTGCATCGTGTCGAAGGCTTCGCTGATATCCTGGTATTGTTTACTAAGTAGGTATACATAATTTATTTATATGTTGATGGGCATGCTTACTCTGTGAGCGCAGATGCGAAGTTCAACGAAGTGTTAGTGTCAAAGAAGGCGATTTCCTGGGTGATGACAGAACGGAGCAGTTGCTTGCGGAGGCGGTTTGTCTGAAAGATCAATTAATCATCATCATTATTCCATATATTTGACGCATTGCTGTTCACGGTCCTCTTCCAAGGATGCGGGTTGGCGGCCCCACAAATTAAGAAACTGCAGTTATCTGAGGGTATCGCCTGTCGCCCAGAGAGATAAGGTGACAAGTCCCAAGTGCTCGTGATTTCACCAGGACCCTTACCCTTCAAAACCGGAATTAAGAAATGGTCATGTTACTGCTTGGCAGCGGAAATACGTATGGTCGCAGTATTTCTCTGGATGTATTCTTTCACACGGATCTCCAGTGCTACTAAATTTGTTTAACCTACTCCAATACGAAGATTTCCGTCCGAATCAAAGCAATTAAAACTCAAAAGACTCAAAGTCCAATCGAATTAGTCTAAGATATTTTTTGCACATTAGAAGAACCTACCATGCTGGCAGCAGCCACGTTGGCCAGTGTGACAGATATAGCAGCGCAGAACAATTGCATCGCCATTACCACCCCCATTGAAGCGCCATACGCGCGACTGTCTTCATCAAGGGCCATCTTGTGCACCGTCGTGTTATTGCCGGGTCTGTAAGTGAATGAAAATGATACTTGGTGCTTTGTGTATTACGAAAGTAATTTTCATCTTGTAAAATATATGTTTTTGTTTGTGTTTATATATATATTTTTTATTTCATGACATCAAGTAACGAGACAAATGAGTCACGCACCTGGTGGTAAGCAACACGCCTACTCATAACGATTAGGAAGTTAAAGATGATTTTGAGAGTTGCTCGTAGTGTTGGGTCATGGAAAAATTTACATTTTACATTTACAAATCACATATTTTTTCGAATGTTTTTCCTATATTTTAACATCCCCTGTTCCTTTCTACATAAGTTTTGATTATAGTGACTCTGCCGACCCTTAGGGTATACGAGATACGCCCTTCTTATAGGAACAATCTGTCAGGTCCTGACCTCAGATAAGCTCGTTTGCACTGCCCCGGGTGCAAGTACAGTTGTCCAGATAGGACAATAGGGACCGGAGCTATTTGCAGGCTCACTTCCCGTTGAGCATTGCACAATTGCCATCACTAAGCGTTGACTAAAGTCCACTATCCAATCTCCACTTTGGTGGCGGAGCTGTCGGCACGCTGACCTCCCGACGCCGCCGTAGCGTCTCTCCAGTTCCCAAAAACCTACGCTGCTGGAGAAACAGGAGGATGTCTAACGCATTCTCTACTAGTTCTAGGGCTATTGCCAGAGATGTCGGCGGCAGTTTTTTTTTTTTACTAAAAATTAAACAAGGCCAAAAACGATCCTTCCAACAAAAAAAATCAATAAAATCGATTCACAAATAATGCCGCGGTACTTAACATACACACAAAAAATATAGTCGAATTGTGAACCTCCTCCTTTTTTGATGTCGGTTAATAATAAGGTACTGATAATGAGATCCTGCAGCCAATTCCAAAGTAGTTGTATTGTAGAATCTTTTTTTTTCATAACATCAAGGGACGCGACGACGGGACGAATAAGTCGTGGCACTCAGACCTTTAAACCGCAAATATCTGAAGGGCACTGCCACAGCGCCCGTCACCCTGAGACGTAAGTTCTCAAGTCTCATGTGCCTGTAATTTCACCAGCACCCTTACCCTTCAAGACACAGTAATGCTGACCTTACTGCTTGGCTGCAGAAATAGGTAAGTTGGCAGTACTTCCCTGGAGGAACTCTTTCAAAGATCTTTTCGAAAGGAGACTCAACCGTGTCTACGACACTGAGACAACTTACACTACTCTTCCTCCTTTAAAAACTGGCAGCAAAGCCACCTTTCCTGTGATGTCGTTAGCTCTTTCTCTCTCCACGAACAGCGCTGTCAGTTCTCCGTACAACACAACACCGCCGATGAGAGCAAACGAGCAGCCGAAGGAGACCACGACGCCGATGCATGTTAGCACACGTTCCGTCACGGTTGCGTATCGCCACTGAAAAACAAACAAAAAAAAAGATATAAATAACAATGTTAAAATTAAAAAAAAAAACAGATCTGAAAAGTTTGTGGAATTACATATACAGGTGGGTGAAATTCAACAAACCGGATTCACACCCTAATTCACCACCCTTAGAGGTGGAATATTTTGTTCAAACTGAGATGCCCCCGTAATCGGTTCACAAATGTTGGAGAGAGAAGAGCATAACATCCAAAAATAGTCCAATTATTAAAAAAATAAAAAGACTAGGAAATGAAACCATTGTTTTCCGATCCAACAAAAACCAAAGCTTTAGTCCTTCCTGTCTCTGGTTCAATTTGTTGAAAAAATATTCAACAAATTGAACTACAAAAAAAATAAACTGTATTGTTTTTGGTTCCCTCTAGCTTGGTATCTGTGGTTCGGCCAGGCTTTCTATTTTGTCTAATTCTGTTCCGATGAGAAATACGTTTAAAAAACTGCAAATTTGTTATTTTTAACCAAATTTCCGGTT